GAATACTATGTTATGGCGCACAACAAACAAAGTATACGACAAATCACCTAAATTGGGAACAAAAACATAGCATGTTTTGTTTTGAAAAATTGGTTTGCTACTCGTAATGTAGGCTAAAATGAGGTTTTGCCACCCCTCAATGGACTTTAGGAAAAAATGGGTTTTTGCCGCTATGCAAGTGGGCTTTAAACTCGCAGTTTTAAATGTAATTATTCCCAATTTAACAATTCGCCTTCATCCAAGGCATTCCAGAGAAGTTTATCACATAAGCAGCTAGCCTCATGGTAATCATGCAATTATGGCAACACTCACACGCATGCGGCATGCTAAAGCATAAAAGCTCACCTAGTACTCCAAGCCAAAATAGAAACCAGTTAGTAACCACATGCATGATCCTAGTTCATATTTGAAATGGCTAATGCAACACATGCGAAGATGCAATCTAAACAGGCTCGGCTATCCTAAACATGGCATTTGAAATGCTGCAACTAACAAATACTCAACTTGGAATTGAAATACGAGTGCAGTTAGCATGATGTACCGAGCTTGGTGCATGCAAGACGAATGTATGAATGCACGCATGCGTAGCATAAGGTATGCTAATTTAAATATGCCCTAGTCTACCATCATAAGCGGGTAAATAAAAGGGAAGAAAGACGTGGGGATGGAAGACATACACACACTCACCCACACTTATTACAAATTCGCCTTCGCTCGGAGGGACTGAAAGAATAATATAAATTAACTAACTCGCAAGCTAATTAATTATTACAAATCACCTAATTAATTAACAAATTAACTAAGCTAAGGAAAGCAGTAAAGGCCTTGGGAAGAGGATCCAATGCGCGTGTGCTCGGGTTTGCTTGGAAATCCAACGCCATGCACAAGTTTGCCTCTGTTTTCCCTGCTTTGCTCCTCTGAGGACTGCCAAAGTCCAAGGGTATGCTCTTTGGATGCCGGGGGGTACCACCGACCAAGTAGAAACGCCACCGGCCGGAGGGGATGATCACCGGCCATTGAATAAGATATCGGCCAAACATGTTTTGCCGGTCAGCAGTATATATGGCCGGCCAGCCAAAATTTCCTGCAGAAACCTGTTTGACAGCAGCAGAGGGCAAACAAGGCATGGCCATGCATTTTCAAAGCAATGTGTGCACCACCACATCCCTTATCATGTTTGTGACTCAAAGGGGTATGGTGCTCGATTCTCGGACCACCAATCGCGCATTTCAATGCGTGATGGCCTAAAAGCCAAGTGTGCAACTTCAATATGGAATGAAATGCACAAAACAAACAATGGGCCCCAACCTCCATCATAATCAATTCAAGAGGCGAGAGATGCATGCTAATGTAATGCAACCTAGGCATGTGAGCTAAGTGTGCAACATGATCATGCAAACAACAAAACCATGTGCAATAGGCACATGAACTAAACAAGTAAGCGTGCAAGGCATATAGCATCAATGTTAATGACACACATGCAACAACATGAAAGGCATAACACATGTAAATATACAAAGCGACTTAACACAAGGAGCATGCCAAATGCAATGACACTTAAACATGCAACATGTTAATAGGCTAAGTACCTAAAAATACAAACATGTATAGCATGCAACAACATGCCAAAGGGATGGTCTTAAACTAATTTGGACAGCTCTCTACTAGGTCCAAAACAATGGCCACAATGATGCAAGTGAGGCAACGAAATACATAGAATGCATGCACAATGCATTAACCAAGCTTAAGGCACAAAAATGCAACTCTACCAAAGCATGGCAAGGAGGAAATATGGCATACAATGGTGCATGTTCTAGATCTGAAATGGCATACCAAATGACTCCAAAATGACCTCAAAACATGAAAACACTACCATTTAAGCATGCAAGAAACTTCAAAACTCAAAGCTAGGCATGGGCATTGCACTACAAGCATGCATAACAGGCATTATTCGACCATGAGGCATGAAAACAGTGCTAAGGCAGTCCAAAACATGCATGAAATCAGTTCAAGGCATGGCCAAAAAATGTTAGCAAGATGGGCTAAAATAACATGCAACTTTGACTAGCAAACATGGGTTGTATGGCAAGTATATGATACACATGGAATCTCACCAAACCATCAAAAATCAGTGAATAAAACATGTGAAAATAAGCCCAAATAACCACTGATATGCAACCATGGCATGCAAAAATGATGAGTTACTTTAGAGGGCCATGCAAGGAGTTATTAAGCACATGCAAGAGGGACACTCAATATGACCAAACCAACTCTGAAAATGGCTTATGGGGGTCCTAAAACCCACTGAAAAATGCTTGAAACAAGGCTTTGAAGCATGCAAATAGGAGCCCCTTTGGAAGGCCAAAAAGGGCAACAAACAGGGCAACAAGGGAGAGGGTCACCCCTCTCCTTCTTAGGACCTTAAACCACCATCTAAACAAGGCAACAAGGCAACAAGTGGTGAGGAGGCCCAAACAAGGTGGTCCCGAAGTTCACCAAAAATAGCACAAAATGGGGCCAAACAAGGCCTAAGAGGGGGTAAACGACCCCAAACACAAAAGTGTCCTTAATGAAGTATCTTAAACACAAAAAAATAGAACTTTTTTTATGTTATACACAAATCTCAAATCCGAAAGCAAGACAGGCTAAAAGGGTGTGCAAAAACGGAGAATAAAGAGGGTAAGAAGTTACCTTTGAAGACCAGCAAGAACCGGCAGCCTTTTGGTCTCAAAAACCAGTCCTCAACCTCTGAAAATAAGCTCCAAGAACCTCCAAGTGATGATGGAAGTGTGTGGCTATGAAGTGGTGTGCAATAGGCCAAGAACAAGACACTTTTGGACCCTCTAACCCACCCAAATGTAGAGAGAGAGGGAGATATAGAGAGGGAGTGATATATATGTGATATATATCAGATTTTTCTAACCCCTAAAAGGGGAGGAGAGGCTCTCTTTATATAGAGAAACCAAGGGGGCAAAGCTTCTCTTGGAAGCTTTGAGCAAAAAGGCCAAGCTTCTCTTAGAAGCTTGGAGCAAAAGGGACAAGCTTCTTGGAGAAGCTAGGCAAAAGGGTCAAGAGGTTCAAGCTTCTTGGAGAAGCTAAAAAAAAAGGTCGAGCTTCTTGGAGAAGCTAAAAAAGGGTCAAGCTTCTTGGAGAAGCTAAAAAAAAAGGTCAAGCTTCTTGGAGAAGCTAAAAAAAAGGTCAAGCTTCTTGGAGAAGTTAAAAAAAGGGTCAAAAGGTTCAAGCTTCTTGGAGAAGCTAAAAAAAGGGGTCAAGAGGGTCAAGCTTCTTGGAGAAGCTAAAAAAATGGTCAAAAGGTTCAAGCTTCTTGGAGAAGTTAAAAAAAGGTCAAGCTTCTTGGAGAAGCTTAAAAAAGGGTCAAGCTCCCTCAAGAAAAGGTCTCAGCCAGGAAAAGTGGCCGATTGATCAAAAACAGTGGCCGGCCGACCAAACACAATGCCGACCGACCATCAATAGTGCCGACCGGCCATCACCAATGGCCGGTGGCAAGGAAACAAGGCCGGTGGCCTCAAGCCGTGGGCGGTGGAGTGTGAGGATGTCTCACAAGCCATTCCCTGCCCTCCAAAGCAAAACACAAGTGTTTGGTGCAAAACCAGACACAAAACAGTCGAGTCGAGAGATCCTGTGGCAGGGCGCGTAGCCGAGACCTCCGGGAACTCAAGACGAACGCGAACAAGGATGATCACCGAGTGTTCAAACAGTGACGTCCAAGTCTTGAGGACGGTCAAAAATGGGGTGTCTACACTATGCTGTTCACATTGTTAGTCAGTACATGTCAGCTCCTCGCACTCCCCACTATACTGCTCTACTCCACATCCTTCGATACCTCAAAGGCACCCTGTTCCATGGCCTTCACTACTCTGCTTCCTCCTCTCTTGAACTGCGTGCCTTTTCTGATGCTGATTGGACTGGGGATCCTACGGATCGACGCTCCACTACGGGATTTTGTTTCTTCTTAGGGGATTCTCTTCTTACTTGGCATAGCAAGAAACAATCCCTCACTGCCCGTTCTAGCACCGAAGCTGAATACCGAGCTCTTGCTGATACTACTCAGGAACTTCTCTGGCTTCGCTGGCTCCTCACTGATATGGGTATTTCCTCTTCTGGCGCTACCTCTCCTTATTGTGACAATCAGAGTGCCATTCAGATTGCTCACAATGATATTTTTTCATGATCGCACCAAGCATATTGAGAGTGATTGTCATTTCATTTGACAGCATGTTACACGTGGTACTGTTCATCTTCTCCCCATTGTTTCTGCTGATCAACCTGCTGATATTTTCACCAAAGCTCATCCTCCTGGGCGCTTCTGTGATCTTGTTTCCAAACTCAACTTGGTCGATGCCTACCCTCCTTAAGTTTGCGGGGGGCTGTTAACATATAATATACATCCCACTAGCATTTGTAGCTGTAAAGGGCTCTCACCTACTAGCATTTGTAGCTGTAAAGGGCTCTCACCCACTACCATACACTTTCACTTTCAGCTTTAGCAATAGCTTTGATGTTATTTTAATGTATTGGCTTATGCATCTGATGCTCCATTGTCTCCTTCTCCTCTCTATAAAGAGAGAGAGCTCATTCTCTTGTATATACAGAAATACAATAACAGACATTGATTATACATTGAATATACCAATCCTTCATTTCAGTCTCTTTCTGTTCTCTCTCTCCTTACCAATCTTAAAGAGAGAGAGCTTATTCTCTTGTATATACAGAAATACAATAACAGACATTGATTATACATTGAATATACCAATCCTTCATTTCAGTCTCTCTCTGTTCTCTCTCTCCTTACCAATCTTTCAATTCGAATGGGTCAAAATATCCAAAGCGACGTAGTTTTGACACATTCAAGCTATTTGTACCACAAAAATTTGAACCACCAAACATTTTTTCATAAAAAATGAGATCAAACATTGATAATCTATTCATCAAATCACATATTTTTTAAATGAATAATTCATATGAGTCCCACTATCCGTGCATTGTACACAGCAATGACTCAGTTGGATGTTTTTGAATTTTGGGTCCTTGAAACAGGGAAAAAGATAGATTTAGGGTGTTAGTTGGGATACTCTTGGAATTGAAAAGGTCATCATTAGGGTGTTAATTAGGATACTCTTAGAATTGAAAAGGTCATCAAAGTTAAAAGATATGACATAAACAAAAGACTCTCAACTCCAAACGGTTGTTTTTGAATCACAATTACAAGGACGCCATATAATAAAAGAGCTTTTCACTGTAAAAATCTACATCAAACTCGGCAGAAGCTGGGATCAACCTCAGAAACCCTTTCTCTTTTATTTGGTATGTTATGTGTGGCTCATTATTTATTTATTTTTTTTTTAATTTTTTCCTTTCCTTTTAGCATGATTTTGATTGTTGAGTAAGTAGTGATAGATTTTATCCTGTTTGAAATTAGGAATATGTTTTCATTGGCAAGTGAAATTGATAGATTTTTAATTGTTTGCAAGGTGTTTGTTGAATTGCCGGAATGAATAGGATGATTAATTAGAATCCTGCGAATTTGCCACAATCAATCATCCGTAGCCCCTTCGTTTCGGTGAAAAATACTCTTTGGCATGACACTTTAAAAATATATATATGATTTTATACATAAAATGGCCTCAGCCCCAGTATGAATATATATATATAAAAATATATATATGATTTTATGCATAAAATGGCCTCAGCTCAAGTATGGAAAAAAAATATCTATCTATCTATACTATTATAAAGTGAACACATAATATGGTGTCCTGAAGCTTGCTTCACTCTCCTCATGCCATGTGGCAGTGTTTGTTATTTTTTTTTAAAAAAAAAACAAAGAGATGGGCAAGGCTTGAACCCATGACCATGGGTTTAAGTATGAGGACTCATACCACTTAAGCTAAGTACACATTATAATATTAATTTCATTATTATTTTCTTTTATTCCTATTTATTTAATTTGCACACACATTGTGTGTGCCCAACCGCTAGTATATATATATATATATATAATTTTTTCTCATTTTTTATTGTCTTTCTATTTTGCAGTAGAAAAACTTCTTGGTCCTATTAGAAATTACTTCTATGGTATTTAAAATACTTTCTATGTATTTGTTGTCTATTTTTTTTTTTTTTAAAAGAAAACAAATGTAATTCAAACATATAGTTATTGATGTTCAATCATTTTAATTTTTTGCATAAATATTCTACCCAACAAGCCAACAAGTCTTAACAATGAATGGTTTGGATCACCAAAATCAGTCCTAAAATAAGCCTACTAAGTCTAAACACTCTCTCAAGTTGAGATGACAACTTGAGATAATTTATATATCATATTGTACATACATGTGTGTTTGTGTATATCGTGAAAAATTTTTATTCGTCTTTTGGATTCTCCAGTAATGAAATCCCGGTTCCATCCTTGGTCATCCCATTATTTGTTATGTGTGTTATGATGGGTTTCCTTGATGTCTTGGATAAATAAACGAACAAGAAAAATGAACTTCCATTAATGAATTATAATCAGTGTGTTTGGTCTGAGTTTTTGGAATTACGTTTTTTGAAAATAGAGTTTTTTTATTTTCGTATTTTTTTGTTTTTAATGAAGATTTTTTAAATTTTAAATATTTTTACTTTTTTAGATGTACCTTACTTAGATGTATCTAAAAAGTAAAAAATTAGTAAATACATAAAAATACGAAAAATGTACTGAATTCTCGTATTTTTTTTTTTTGTGTTTTTGTGTTTTTGGTATTTAGTGAATTTTTAAAAGGTTTTTTTCATAATTTTTTTACTTTTTAGGTATACTTATGTTAGGTTTGTCTTAAAAGTAAAAAAAAATTGCTTAAAATATTAAAAAAATTCAGTAAAAACAAAAAACACGGAAAACAAGAAAGTAAAATTTTCTGATAAGTGTTTTTGAAAAACTATAACAAAGCAAAGTGAATAGTAACTTGATAGAAAGGAATTCTAGTTGTGGCATTAATTTGTAGTTTTTTTAACTAAAATTTGGCTAAAGTTTTAACTTTGTTAGATGGAGATGAGAATTCTCTGTTCTTATTGTGGGTTATGCAGAGGCAAAAATGACCATGAAAGTGCACAGCAGAAGAAGAAAATTAATTATCGGCAGTACATCGTCAGAGCATTCATTTGCGGCAGAAGTAATTGCCGGCAATGCAGATCTCTTAACAGAGATTCTTATACGCATGCCAGCAAAGTCCCTCATCAGATTCAAGTGCGTGTCTAAGAATTGGCTGTTTCTAATCTCCGATTCACAATTTTCCCGCAACCATTCTCGCCAAGATCACAATCCCTTGTTCTCAGGATTATACATCAGCACTTCGTCATCAAACGATGAACAAGTAAAGTCTGTCTCACTTGATAACCACAACCCAAATCTTCCGACACTGTCATTCCTTGCTGGTATTGGAGATGGTTCTGCTACAACTAGGATTAAGCACTCTTGCAATGGCTTACTGTTATGCTTGAATGGCCTAACGCGGTTCATTGTTTGTAACCCGACCACCCAGAAATTCACAGTACTTCCATATCCTGGTGGCCCTTCAACATCTTCTGGACCATTTCGTGACAAGTTTGGTGTTTACTTCACTTCATCTAGATCACTTCGCCATGTGTTTGGTGCTTATTTGGCTTTTACTCCCTCAAAATCACCTCACTACAAAGTTATATTGATAAGTTACTCTAGCAATTTTGATGAAGGCTTTTACTTAATTGACTTGTACTCTTCGGAGAGTGCGTCTTGGGAACACATAAGTGCCAACGCACCACCAGGTTACTCCTTCAGGAAAAGGGTCTTTTGGAATGGTGCAATTCATTGGATGAGTTACAAGAACTTTCACATTCAATTTGATGTTGATGCACCAAAGCTAATAGCAACTCCAATGCCTCCAAACCCTAAAATTCTTTCTGAAGATGATATTCGGTATTTTGGAGAATGTGGTGGCCATCTGCTTCTTATTCAGACTCCTGAGCACTCTGCTGTGAGATTTAGAATCCTTGAAATGGACAAGGACCACTATCTTTGGATTGTGAAGTATTGGGTCGATCTTAGACCCATAATATCTGTATTCCCTGAAATAATTCACAGAAGCACGTTTGACACGACCAAAATCTGTAAATTTTCTGTGCTATGTGTTGTGAAGGGAGCAAATGAAAAAGATTTTACTCTGGTGTTAGCCATTCCGGGAAAAATTGTTTTGTACAATCGGAAGTGCAAGACACTGAAGGTGCTTTGTGATTTGCCGCCACAACGGGACTATGAAGACCGAGAATCAACTTGGTATTATACTGACCAATTCATTGAAAGCCTATCTCCTATTTGATCAATGCCTACATGCTTGAGCAGGTATACTTTCTGGACACTCTATCCTAATCGTTTTATATGAATTAGTTTCTTAGTGTTAGAAACATTGAATATTGTTCTGTCTCAAATGGCAGTATGGTGTTTTTCTAAAACGTTTGGGCATGTGGCTCTACTTTGTTTTGTTTTTAGGCAAATGTTAATCAATCTGCTTGGAGCATTGTTTAATGCATTATAATTTGTGTAAACAGTGCTTTGAAATGAAGATTTTTTTTTTTTTTCATTCAATGAAAATTATTACAGTTAGTGGAAAGAATATTTGTGTTAAAATGAATATTTTGTAAGATAGTGTTGCTGCATCCTTAAAATAAAATGAATATCCTCAACTACTTTCAAATGAAAAAGAGAATTCAAGTTTTAAGTCAAAGATTATTGAGTATAGCTTGTGGCAATGTCACAAATATATCTTCACGTCCAGGGATAAAGTTGGAAATTTATTTTAAGGGGGACCAAAATAAATTTAGCAAGAAAAATCTCTTAGCAAAGAGGAAATTTTAACATGTACTTTTAAGAAAAAGAAAACTAATAATGAGAAAAACTAATAAATTTATATTAATCAATAATGGAATCAATAGTATGTACTATTATAATAAATTATTTGAGATCATCTTATATGCATTATAAGAATACTTCTGCGATATAGGGAACTAATGACAAAATTTATCAAAAAATTAGAAATTATTCTATATACAATATAAAATTATTCATATGGGGATAATAATTTCAAAAAGTTTGGGGGCATGGCCACCCCTAACATCATCCTTGCTTATGCCACAAATTCATCCTCAAGTCAATGGTGAGGATATGTTTGTGACATTGTCATAAAATAGTAGTTTGTGTTAAGTAACGTAGAAACCAACAATTGTGTTTAAAGTTTATCACATTTTTATATTACATTTTGTTTGATGTTTCATGTGTCATCATTATATCTTTTCATCTTACATTTCATTTAAGAAAAGACTTTGCCTCCCGTTCAAATCTAAACTAGAAGGTGATGTTTGGGCTTGTCACAAGTCCCGTTTTGGTGATATAAACTATTCATTTTTATAAAGTTCTTAGTGTATATCATCCATGTAAAAAATTAGGTTAATATAATTATAGCCTATTCAATTTATTGCATTTGCCTCCTAAAAATTGACAATCAATTTTAAAAATAAAATAAAATATTAGTGGTCTTTTTTTATTTTTTATTTTATTTTAACTGAATGGTCTCTTTTGTTTACTATCTCACAAATCATCATTTCATAGGCTAGAATGGTCTCTTTTGTCCCTATCGCCATTATTTCCAAAAATGACAACATTCCCTTTTGGCAATCGCACAATGGGGATTGTACAATCTCAGCAGCCTACTCCTTTCTTAGCAACCATTCTTCTCCAGAAAATTGGTCTTGGCTTTGGAAGAATAAATGTCTTACAAAAGTAAATTACTTCTCGTGGCATTGTGCTTATAATCGCTGACCGGTTAAAACTTGCCTAAACTGGATCGCCATGCCTCTTCTTTGTCATCGTTGTCAACTTGTGACTGAAAGCCCGATACATGCTTTAAGAGACTGTATTTGGGCCAAGGCTGTGTGGATCAGGCTTCATCCTCCCTTTGATCAACAAAGCTACTTTAATCTATCCATTAAAGAGTGGCTCATCGTAAATCTCACTGCTCCCCATAAAGTCCCTAATCTTAACCTGCCATGGACACTTCTTTTTTCCTTGCTATTTGGCAAATTTGGCTATCTCGCAATTCGACCCTATTTACAACATCCATTAGCTCTCTCAATTTCCAAATCAAAACTATCTGGAGGCAATCTGTTGAATACTTCCATTTAGTCTACAAAAATCATATTCCCACCATCACTCATACTCTATGGGTAAAATGGAAACTGCCCTCAACTTGCTATGTCAAACTAAACAGGGATGGATGTGCTCTAGGACAACCGGGTCCAGCAAGCATTGTGCGACTGGTTGTGAGGTTTTAGCCAAAATATAGGAAATGCTACAAGTATGGTTGCTGAATTAAGGGGTATCCGCACAGGATTAATACTTGCATGGCAACAAGGATATTGTTTGCTTGACTTAGAAGTAGATTCATTTGTCACTTATTCTCTCCTTACTTCTAATCCTGTTACTTCACCGTAGATTCAATCTTTGGTTGGTGATTGCAGGTTACTCCTGGGGCGTAAATGGACTGTTCAACTTGATCATGTCTACCAAGAGAAGAATTTTGTTACTGATGGGTTGGCCAAGCAAGCTGTTTTGTATCCGCATAGCCCCTGTTTTGTACTACCTATGGTACTTTTTGACAAACATGGGATGGCTACCCACATTGTGTAGCCAACACCTCTTTATAAATAAATAATACTCGCCTTTTGGATAAATATATATACATATATATGTTGGATAACATAATATAAATTTTGTGTTGTTGAAAACAAGAAGATAAACCTAGAGAGATAGAGAAACACAATAACCAGGTAGACATAATTTGATTTAAAACCATGCCTTTCAAACTGAAAAGTTGAAATGCCTTATAATTTATCTTAAGTGTTTCTTTTGTTTTGATGTATAGTTTTTTTTTTTCAAAGGTAAGTTATATTTTTAAACCTTATACTTTGACTCAAAAATAAATAAATAATTTTGGTAAAACCATTTGTAGTTTCTCCATTAGAATTTCTTGTTAAAAAATAACATGAATCTCAGTTATGAGTACTTCAATAATTAGTACTCCCTCCGTCCCATAATATTAGTCCCTTATTCCATTTTTCATTGTCCCAAATTATTAGTCCCTCTTCAAAAATCAAGTACAAAGTTGAAATGCCTTATAATTTATCTTAAGTGTTTCTTTTGTTTTGATGTATAGTTTTTTTTTTTTTTTTTCAAAGGTAAGTTATATTTTTAAACCTGATACTTTGACTCAAAAATAAATAAATAATTTTGGTAAAACCATTTTTAGTTTCTCCATTACAAATTCTTGTTAAAAAATAACATGAATCTCAGTTATGAGTACTTCAATAATTAGTAATTTTTGATGTTATATTTTAATATTACACGAAATTTAGCTATAGTTAAAATTTGACAAACTAATTTGTTTTTACATTTTACAATGGAATTCATATAAGAAATTTTATGTGATACTTTCTAAAAATAAAATAAATAACATTTGCATGAGTCTAACAATACTAAATAAAACCGACAGAGCTTGGTTGAGTTGGTAATGATCAAATTTTTCGCCTTTAAGACTTAGGTTTGATTTCTATTGCCAACGGTCCTCATTGATAGGCAATTTATAAGTTCAATGTAAGTCCTCGCTGAGACTTGTAGCCAGCACTGGATTAGGGTAGCCTCTCCTCACCTAAAATGTTAATACCCCACTACAAAAAATTTGCTTTTTTGCGACGGTAAAATACGGTCGCAAATACCCAAAACCCCGTCGCAAAAGTTTTTTTGTGACGGCATATAGCTTTTAGCGACGGTAAGAGGGGGGTCGCAACAAAGGGGATTGCTAAAGGCTTTTAGCGACGGTGTGACACCGTCGCAAAATATAGGCGACGGCAAAAATGCCTTTTAGCGACGGCAAAAGACTGTCGCTATTAATATGTAGAAATTTCAAGTTTTTGAGATGCCACTGTGGTGCCGTCGCTAAAATGGCTATTTGCGACGGGGTTTATACCATCGCAAAAAATATTTATTTGAGACAGCAAATATATCGTCGCTAAAATGGTTATTTGCGACAGTAAAAATACCGTCTCTAAAAACATTATTTGCGACGGTGAAGAATACCGTTGCTAAATCCTTTTTGTTTCAACTAATTAATAATGCCAATATCTTTGGCGACGGCTATACTACCGTTGCAAAAAACCTGGTTCTAAATTTTTTTGAGACAGTATGGCGCCGTCTCAAAAAAAAAAAAAAAAAAAAAACTGCAATAAAATTATTAAAAATATGAAAATTACCTGTATTAAATGAAAATAACTAAAAAAAAACCGATAATTATATAATAATATAAAAATTCCTGTATATAAATAAAAATTCATCCATAATTAAAGTATTCTTCCATTTATAACAACACATCATCAAAATTATCCCACCACATAATGTTGCATAATACATAAATAATGTTGTTCACAAATCTAAATAACGTAAATCAAAAATAAAAGTTTTCGTCATGATTCTTCCGTGGGTTACAAATACAAAAGTTTGTCGCAATCTTCACACGCCTGCATTCCACAAGAAGCAAACTGCTACTCAGGAAATATTTGAAAATAAAAAATAAAAATAATTAATGACAATATAATTATGTGTTCATATTTTAATTATAAAAAAACATAAAAAATTAATTACTATATAATTACAAACATAGTTAAGTAAATAATTTTGGCTAGACAGAAATCCGACCCTAACTCCCAAACCGGGAACCTGATTCGAGTCCTGTCTTCTCCCACAAGTCTCTCGTGCCTAAGCGGTCGTGTGCGCCAAGTTTCGTGCCAATCCGACCCCGTTTGGTGATTTTGGGGCGTCAACACCTCAAATTCAAGTTTCTTAAGGAACTAGTTTGCCTAAACCGAAATACGACTCTAACTCCCAAACTGGAAACCCCATTGGAGTCCCGTCTTCTCCCACAAGTCTCTCGTGCCTAGGCGGTCGTGTGCGCCAAGTTTCGTGCTAAACCGACCCCTTTTGGTGATTTGGAGCGTTAACATCTCGAATTCAAGTTTCTTAAGGAACTAGTTTGCCTAGACCGAAATACGGGTCTAACTCCCAAACCGGGAACCCGGTTGGAGCCTCGTCTTCTCCCATAAGTCTCTCGTGCCTAAGCGGTCGTGTGTGTCAAGTTTCGTGCTAAACCGACCCCTTTTGGTGATTTTGGGGCGTTAACACCTCGAATTCAAGTTTCTTAAGGAACTAGTTTGCCTAGACCGAAATACGGGTTTAACTCCCAAACCGGGAACCCGATTGGAGTCCCGTCTTCTTCCACAAGTCTCTCGTGCCTAGGCGGTCGTGTGTGCCAAGTTTCGTGCCAATCCGACCCCGTTTGGTGATTTTGGGGCGTCAACGCCTCAAATTCAAGTTTCTTAAGGAACTAGTTTGCCTAGACCGAAATATGGCTCTAACTCCCAAACCGGGAACCCGATTGGAGTCCCGTCTTCTCCCACAAGTCTCTCGTGCCTAGGCGGTCGTGTGTACCAAGTTTCATGCCAATCCGTCTCTAAAATTAGAATATCCCTCAAAGGCAAAGAAGGCAATGATGACATTGGGAATGGTAATATGCAAGATTGTAAAACCAGCAAGTATAAAATAAAATTCATTCTCTATTCTCCTATGTGGCTAAATAACTGTACTGATTCTAATAAAAAATTCCCTTTAAAAAGATAATATCAAGTTTGAAAACTTAATTGGTATTATTCTATGGATTCACATGCTCCAATTAATAAAACCCCACTGCAACTCTTTCGCTAACAGTTTATCTGATATTATAAAAATGGACTATTTCTACTTCAAGAGCAATCTTTCAGTAAAGGAATAGGAGAGATATTGTAATACATATTTACTCCTGGGTTCAGTAGCCAAATGATAATAGACAAGCCAAATGGTACCATCAACAAAGACGAAGTGCTTGAAATTGTAGTACTTAGTTTTACATTTGAAATACCATTTACATAAATGACCATTCATGCATTTGGTTTTTAATTTGCCTTGGTCTATAAGAAACGGCTCCAATAAGTAAATAAATAACTCCATGATCTATTGGTTTGAAGCCACTTGAACAAAATTTTGAAAAGAGTAATGATAGAATGAATTGAAGAGAACCATGTACTTCTCCTAATATGCAGCAAAGGAGTGTAGTTATGAAGTACTCCTTGATTCTATTTATACTAAAGTGAATCATGTACTTCTCATTTCCTTAATTTAGGTTTTCTGGTGGGTTCATTAACTAAAAGAAAATGGCAAAGAAAGTGCATTGGTATGGTTGTTGATGTAAAGGAGAAATCGGGTCCTGAATAGTTTAGAGAGCCTCATTCATTTTGTGTGAGGAGTGCTTTTGTCTTCGAGTTCCAAACGGAAGTATCAAATATTACCTGCAGCATAGTTTTCTCCGTTGATTTGGTCTGCCAATTTTCTAACATAAGTCTATTTTCAACACATTCACGTTTATTTTTCCTTTAGCTACTGTGCAAGTTCAAAAGAAAGAAAAAACAAAATAAAAATAAAGAAGGAAAATCATCAAGCCATTGAGATTTTCCCACTGTTTTAATTTGCAGCAACCAAACATGGAAGAGGAAGATAAATTATTTTGCACAACAGTTAAATCAAGAGATGGAATGAGAAGAAATGCACTGACCTTCATACAAGTAAAAAGCACAAGTAAAAACCACAAGAAATGTAGAAGATACTGACAGGAACACCCATACCTTGTAGCTTGAAAGATTAGTTTGAGAGAGTGAGAGAAGCTATAGAGCGAGAGAGAGACTCTGAAATGTTTGTATATGCATTAATTTACAAAGAGAATGAAGTCTCTCTTTATAGAGAGAAAATATGGGCATTGGATACCAAAGAACCCACTACCACCGAAAGCATAAAGTGAAGTTATACAATTAACAATTACACCGAAAGTATAAAGTAAAGCTATACATTTAATAATGATAAAGCTAAAGCTATTCTAATTAACAAGTATATACTAACCCACTACCACCGAAAGCATAAAGTGAAGTTATACAATTAACAATTACACCGAAAGTATAAAGTAAAGCTATACATTTAATAATGATAAAGCTAAAGCTATTCTAATTAACAAGTATTTACTAACATAGCTAATGCATCAATTTCATCAATAAAAATTACTGATGGTTTGTTTACCTGCAAGGGAAATCTAGGTAATCTTAAATAATGACTTCAAAATTAAGTATATCAATTACCGAACAGCGTATGCATCAAAGAATTCTAATAATCTCCTTATATCTCATTTAATTGTAGATAGAAGGGAAAAATAATATAGGTATTCTTTTTCTTAGATAATCTTCTGTTGACAAAAAGACCACAATATGGAAAATGACTGGAACATAGTTAATGGGAAATCAAACAGAGTTAATTAAAAACAATTTAAGCAATCTATCATATGAATAAGATTCGGAGGATAACAAGAAGTCCAAGTGCAAAGTTTAAACTCCCATACCATACTTATCAGCGATCATTCACCATGAAAAATATCGGGGCTACATTTAAAACCCCCAAACAAACCTTTCAACCAAAGTAAAAAACATACGCCCAGTTCAGTACCCATTGGATGTTAGGGACGGGTAGATTGGGTAGAGACTTAACTTTTAGCATTATTTGCACTAAGTGTCTGACCTTAACTTTGAGCCCACAACCTCAACTGTGACATGCTGAATTT